TGGACTAAACAAAATAAAATGTATAATATCTATAGAAACTTTGAAATCTAAACCATAGCTTATGCATTCTTTTCTAAAATCACTTAATATTTTAAGATATTGAAAGGAAAATCTAAGGCCTAAGACAAAAGTTTTGTTTTCTACACAGGGTCTCATTTACTTCAGGTTAGCCTTTGACTCCCTGTGTTGCTAAGCTGATCTTGTGCATCTGATCCTCTTGCCTCTATCTCTCAAGTGTTGAGATCACTTATGGTGCTGAAGATTAAAACCACGGTTTCCCTCATGCTAGGCAAGCACTCTACCAACTGAGCTGGTCCTAAATCATAATTTTTCACCCTATAAAGTAAGAAAAATACAAATTAATTAGAAAAAGACAAATCATCTTAATGACTGAAATACTTTTCTAAATAAAATTAAGTCTAATTTTAAATTGTAAGTTGGCTAGAAATTATGAATAGAGATAATATACATGACACTAGATTTGCTAATAATTTCTGAGATGTGATAATAAAATCACAGTTAAAAACAGATAAATATGGTATGCTTTAATTAAAAACATGTGCCTTAAAGGACACAATTAATATAGTGATAAGAAATCTGTGATGTTTAACATGAAGTGTCAACTAGATGAGATCTGCAATCCCTTGGAAGATAGGCCTCTGGACATGCCTGTGGAAGATTCTCTTGATTAGGCTAAATGAGATGGGAAGACACTGTAAGTGGCACCATTCCCTGGGCTGAGATCAAGTACAAAATTCATTGGTCTTTTCTCTCTCTGCTTCTTAACTACAGGCAAGATATGACCAGCTGTGTCAGGCTCCTGCTGCTGTGACTTCCCCACCATGATACTTTGCAACCTTGAACTATGAGCAAAAATAAATTCATTCTATCTCAAAAAATAGAAACTAAAAAAGATAAAAATAGTAAACATGCAGCTTTCCAATAATAATACTAATACCTACTCATAAAAACTTGCTAATGATTTAACAAGGTTTTATACAAAAATTTTAGCATAAAGTTAATAATAATGAAGCATAGAGGTGGTTAGCACACATACACTAGGATATTAAAGTACTAAGACACCCTGTTCTAAGGAGAGTACTTAACTTGGTTTGCTCATATTTTTGGACCATATTTATGGTAATCCAGGTTTTTATTTGCAAGGCACAGAAGCTAATGTTGACCAGCTAGATAGGAGTTTATTCAAGGGATGTTGGGTAGCTTGCAGAATTTTTCAGATATCTAGAGACAATCCAGCTTAATCTTCCAGAATGAAACAGAGAAAATCCTAACAAACTGCTCCCTGACACCACAGAGCAATGGCCCTGGTATTACTGAAGTACGAAGGACCTCAACATTAAATACAGCTATTCATCAGTCTAGCAACAACTGATTATGTGGCAAAACATTGAAGCCTGTAAAAAAAACTACAAAGGTTCCCAAATATAAAGCCTTCTCTGCCATCCCACTCCAGAAAACATGGATTCTGTATTTCCCCTTTGTCATCTAGTTGTTCACTTTCTATGTCACTTAATTGGTGGAATCTAGGTCATAAGCCTGTGCTGTAGCTCCAAAGGAAGCAAAAGAAGTAAATAGGGGCCAGGGAGATGGCTTAGCAGGTAAAGACACTTGCACCAAGCCTGATGTGAGTTCTATCCCCAGAATCCACATAGTGGAAGGAGAGAACTGGAGATGGCATGCACGTTGTCCTTTGACCTCCACGTGTGTCAAGGTACACACATGCACAAATGTAATGATTGTTTTAAAAAGAACATATTATGGGCACTTGTCTAGCATGCACAAAGCCCTGTATTCAATTTGATCCTCAAAACCTAATAAAACCATGTATAGTAACACATTCCTGTAATGCTGGCACTCAGGAGGTGGAGGCAGGAAGATCAGGAGTTCATGGTCATCCTTGACTACATAATGATTGATTTGAGGCCAGCCTGGGATAATTGATACAGGAGAGAAAGAGCATCCCCTACAGGGCTCTTAGTCTCATTCATAAAAGAATTTAGGAATGGACTCAAATGGAAGTTTTAGTGCAATTTTATTACAATTTAAAGAAAAATCTTCAGGGAAGGCAAGCTGGTAATCTTGGCAGCTGCCTTAAGAAGGAGAATGGAGAGGGGGGAAAGAAAAAAAAATGAAGCCACGCAGGTTTAGAGCCTGCACTAAGGTCAGAAACCAGGCCAACTGGCAGCTGATTGGCAGGAGAAGGGAGCTTTAGAGAAAGAGTAAAGAAATAGAAGATGCTAGGGCAGCCCAAAGCATTAAAGAAAGCATGTTTAGAAAAGGGATATGAAGAAGAAAACAAATAGAGATTTTATAATCCTGACCAATTAATCTTATGGGGCTATTTGCTACTCTAAGAACATGAGACCCTGTCTCAATAAAGAGAAAAAAAAAAATTACAAGCTTTTTCTGCTTAGGTTAGCTAGCAATTCCCAAAAGGTAATAAATGTGTTCAACAGCCAAAAAGCACCTTAGTGTGAAATGCTCACTCCTCCCCCAAAAAATCCAACACCATTTCAGAAAGAATACAATGGATCAAGTATTTTTCCAGTCTTAATGGTCAATCACCTGGTGATAGAACCACTCCTAGGAAGGCAGGTTCACTAAGTTATGCTAAATAGATAGGCGGATTTATTTAGTTATGCTAAATAGAAGACAGGTTCACTAAGTTACGCTAAACAGATGGGCAGAATACCCGGTGTGTTAATAAGGTAGTGAATATTTCCTGTCTAGAACTAGTGCAGATCTCCACAGAACTTCCAGACCAGCCATAGTCATGTAGGTCTCCGCCATGTAAGTGTCTGCTTTCCTGAACTCTTCTGGAAAACGTAATTTCTCCTTTTATTCTTCATGCTTTTCTTACTAAACATGCTTTCTCTAAGGCTTTGAGCTGCCCCTAGCATCCTGTAGTTCTTCACATTTTCTCTAAATCTTCCTTCTCCCAGCCATGTGGCTGCGAGTCAGCCATGTGTCTGACCTCCATGCAGGCTCTAAACCTGCATGGCTTCCATGGCTTTCTTTCCTTCTTACTATTGATCTCCTCAAGGCCGATGACCAGCTCGCCTGCCCTGAAGATTTTTCTTTAAGATTCTAATAAAATTGTAAAAGCTTCCGTTTGGGTCCATTCTTAAAATCTTTCATGAATGAGACTAACATTCCTCTAGGGGACCCTTTCTCCCCATTGCAAAAGGGGAAATTATGTTAAGAGCTGGGAAAGTGTGCTGAAACACAAGAGCATCCGAAAGAAGACATCACTGAGGAGCTGAGGAGTGATAACTCCAAGCACAAGAATGGCTTAGTGGCAACACAGATGAGGAAATCATTACAAGATTGCCCCAAGTGGGACCTAGAAAGTGGCACCATGGTCTCCTTTTCCTTTTCATCATCTCCTGGGCCAAACAATAGCTCAATCCTGCTGGTACTGAGTTTATACTGCAAGGATGTTCTCAAAGATTTTACTGGGTTGTTTTGGGGGGGAAGGGGGGATCTTTTTGAGACAGGGTTTCCCTGTAGTCCCAGCTGGCCTGGAACTTGCAATGGAGACCAGACTGGCCTTGATCCCACAGAGATCCACCTGCCTCTTCTTCCCAAACGTGGGGATTAAAGATGTGGGCTGTGATGCCCTTTTAAATCGTGCAGCCATTTATATTGAGCCAAGTCTCATCATCTTCCCTAGGAACCCATGTAATGTTTAAATCTGTGTAAACATATTTAATGAAACTTTAAAAAGCACTTTTTTCTAGATATTTTAAAAACAGTACACTACCGTTATCTATAGTCACTTTTCCATGGAATAGAGCACACCCAAATCGCTCTGAATGATGGCCATCCAAGGAATTTTTCATACTACTCTTTAGTGATCTGTATAAATGTCAACAATGAAGGCTGAGCATGAATTCCCTAAATTCAAGATAAAGACACAACATCTGTCTTATGTACAGTTGAATCCTAAATAAGCAGCACAAGGCCTGACCTTCACAAACATCTAAATATTTGCTTTATACTAATTAATAAAAGTAAAGCAATTATGACATAAATCTACACAGCTTGCAAGCTTAATAATGTAAAACATAGTTATATACATCCATGAAATATCAAGAATATACAAAAAAAAGCGATGAAGATATTAAATACCTGTTGACTATTAGTCAATGGAAAAATGACTCATTATTCACATATTTATACAGTTATTATAGTGCCATTAAAAATAAAATTAATTACTAAACACATTTACTATGAAAGATATTTCCTTCTAAAACTGAGGCTTAAAGTATAAGCAAAGGGGGGAGGGGATGGGAACAGAACAAAAACCTCATATTAACAAATCAGACACCATTGTAAAGCACAATTTGACATTTAATGACCTCATTGTGCCACAAAGGATCCTGGGTCTTCCAGCCTTACCTCTGCTCCCACTCCTGCTATTTCCCTGCCTCCCAGGAGACTCAGAGCACCAAGCTGTGCTATGTTCTCCACATCTGTGCTGTTCTGTGTCTTATCCTAGGCCTCCAGCATTCCTGGAGTGGTGGTTCTATATTACCATCACTTCATCACATGGCAAAGGGCAATTCCTGACATATCAGACATTAAATAGTAACACTGTGAATTTAAGGATGAGATAACGACATAGAATGTGAGGCCCGTTTCTTTCATTTACAAAGTTATTATAAGGACTAAGTACAAGAAACATGCAAACCACGTCTGTCATATAGTAAGCACACAAAACCTCCACATAGTTACAAACTACCATCAATGAGGCCACGTACAAATGGTTTTGACTCCTTAGTTATAATCATCTGAAATTGTGGATAATAACTCTTATCCTGCCCATTCACTACTATGATTGAAGAAAGAGCATAAAGTAATTTGGAAACTCTGAATCACTGGACAGACACATTATTATGTTGTAATGATGATAATGGTTATGTGCCATGTTCTTTGTGAATCTTGCTCTATAAGCTTATCCCTTCATGTCTCGTTACCTTGGCTGATGTTTCAAACCATCCTACGAAACCGTGCTCCTTGCAAAACTGGTCCATCTTGAGGCCATTATTCATGAGCACATCCTTCCCCTGGTCACATTTGTTGGCCAACAGAACCACGGAAACAGGTTTGCCATTAGGGAGAGTTAGCTTTGAGTCCAAATCATTTTTCCACTTTGCCACTGCATCAAATGTGGCTGGCCTGGTGACGTCAAAGACAATAAATGCGCCCATAGCTTCTCGGTAATAGACCCTTGTCATGTTTCCAAATCTCTCTTGACCTGTTAACAAAAGAAACAGAATTCAAAGAGTTATTGGAACTGGAACCAGAATCAGATACTAGGACTTCATGAGGACTCCATTATGAGGTGATGAAAAACAGAGTTTTATTGCTAATCTTTAAAGAGTGAAGTAAAAATACAATCAATCTTCATAAGTAATTCTTTAAGTGCAAAAGAAAATCCTTCATTCAAAAAATATATAATGGACCTATGAGATGGTTCAGCAGATAAAGACACCTCCTACTAAGTCTGACAACTTGAGTTTGATCTGTGGAACCCTTATGGTGAATGGAGAAAACCAACTCGCACAACTTGGTCTCTTGGTGTGCCATAGTGTGTATAAGTGTGTGCACACATAGGCAAACAAGTCACAAATGCACATTTAAAAATATATATACTTATTGAGAAAGTGCTGTGTATGATGTAATATTCTAGAACTGTACAAATACAGTAGCTCACTAGGGTGCATGTATGTGTGTGTGTGAGATAGTGTGTGTGTGTGCGTGTGTATTTACCTTTAAATTAATTAAAGCCAAATAAAACTTAAAATTCAGTTCTTTGGTCATACTAGCTAGTTGCATTTCAAATGTTCAACAACTACATGTTATCTTCTTTGGAGTTCAGGGTAAGAGGGCAGATTGGAAGCTGGGTCCATGAGATTGGATAAATAAAAATTGAGATTAAAAAAAAAAGATTCTATTCCTATAAGAGAAAAAGCTAAAGAAAACAAATAAACCTAGGTAGGCTTTTCCCTACAAAGCAGCAGCCAAACAGAACCCCAGCCAAGCCACACTGCTTGTACCCCAGCAAGTTCAGCTGTAGTGGCATGGGAAGTGAGTTCATGGATAACCTATGCTGTGATAGCTAGAGAGAGAGTATGGGCTTTGGAAACCCAAACCTGAAGCTGGATATATCATGTATGGAGATGTGGCCAGAGCACAGCTGGCTGTAGAGGTTGAAGTGGAAGTGTGGCACTGGATTTTAAAGTTGAGGGAGACTCAACACCTATACACCACTCCTGCTACATTGCCTGGATGAGCTACAAAGACCACAGGAAGTGGGCAACGGAATTTGGTGCGGTATCTAATGTACACCACGGAGCTTTGAAGAAGCACAAAACTGAGCCTGATGCCAAGAGGTTCTCAAGGATCCCAGCCTACACCCTGCAGTTGCCTGGACAAGCTGTGGAAGTTGCTATAGTATCCTGATGGACTCCATAAAAAATAAATAGGGGAATGTAGAACTTTCAAGTTCCCTCACAACTTTAGTCACAGGAAGTCTTGCACAAAAAGAAAAATACCAAACACCAGAGACAAGGTTGTAACTTGCCAGTGGTGGTCACAGGCTGGGGAATTCTGGCAGAAAATAAACTTCAGTCATACAACTCTTTCTGACTTCAAAGGACAAACTGGCATACCTTGTTTGAATTACTGATGCCATCAAGGTCCGTGACCCATCTGTGTAGACTGATACAAATGACAATCCAAGGTGAAGGAGAAACTGTATCTTCCCAATTAGGAAAAAGTACTGAAGTGGTCATAATACTTTCTAGTTCACTTTAGTGCTTTATTTTTATTTACGCTTGGCACATCAATTGTTCTGTTATTGTATTCTCACTTGTATCTCACTAGGAAAAGCTTTTATGATTCTCCTTTCTTGATTTACACCTATTCCAAAATACCTTTGTTATTATTGCTATACCTCATAACTCTAGCCTATATAACTTCCTTTCCTTCTTACTCTATCTTTTCCCCCTTCTGCATTCCTTCTTCATCTCGACCTTAAATACTGATACCCTCACCTCTGAATGCACTACAGAATACAGCTCTTTAACTAACAGCCTACTGCCAGTATCTCTGAAACATATCAGAACAAGTGAAGAGCACAGGTGTTGTGAAGTTGTTGCTACAGTTGGCTTCCCCTCTAAATAGCACTATGAAATATAAATGTAAGTGAGGACTCCTCACCAGAAGTAATATAAAAATAAAATCAACAAATGAAAGGAATTGGAAAAAAAAACCCAAAAAACAAAAACTGGAGAATATTTCTATCCCAATAGATGTACAATACACAAGAAACACAAATCTGTGAAATAATTCACTATGACACTTCCACAAACTCACAGTCCTCAGTATTGGAAACTAGAAGTAATGAGATTCTTGAAATTCCAGAAAAGATTTCAGAACTCCTACTTTTAAAAAGAACCAGTGACCACAAAGAAGCCTCAAGTAAGCAAATGAATAAAGGACATCAATTCAGAATCTAGACAGGAAGTTCCCCAAGAAAATAAAACAAACAGTAACTTGGAGAAGAAGTTCAAATATCAAATATATGGAGGAAAATTTCAGTGAGATAATTGAAACTCTGTACATAACCAAGCAGAAATTCTGGAAAGGAAAGAATAAATCAATTAAATAAAACAGAGTAGAAAGCATGATCAGCAGACAAGAGCAAGCAAGGGAACTAACTTCAGGAATGAAAGACGATAAGAAAATGATGTACTCAGACATAAGAAGAAAAAAATTAATGAGCATGATCAAAACTCCTAAGAACTATGAGTTTGTAAGACAAACCTTAAGAACCTATGAAATAGAAGATGGAGCTAAGATAAAGCCTAAGGAATAGACAGTGTATTCAATGAAATTATAGCAGAAAATTCACTAAATCTAGAAAGGCATACAAGAGGTATTTAGAATACCAAGTAGACATGGCCAGAAAAAACTGCATTACAGTATCAGTTAAGGTGTCAAAGAGCACCCCCCCTCCCCAAAAAGCCTATTAAAAGTTGTAAGGTAAAATCAACTCATCTGAATAAACAAGTATATCAGATTAACATCAACAATCTTAACAGTGAGGAAAACAGGAACTGATGATGTATTTTAAGTAATTGTCAACAACCAACATTGCTATACTCAGAAAAGCCATCTCTTAACAAAACCATGGGAATATCAAATCCCTCTCAATAACAACTTTAAATTACAAAACGAACTCTGTTCATGTAATAAAGAAACAGACTGATGAATTAAAACTACATCTAACTCTCCAAAGAAACACACCTCATTGGCAAACATCCAAAAACTGAGAATCAGAGAATGGAAAGCAGCCTAACAAGCAAAAGGAAAACTTAAGTAACTGGTGTAGCTATTCTCACAGCCAAGAGAATTCAAGCAAAAACAAGTCTGAAGAGATTTTTTTAAAAAGTCAATACTTATGAATATAACAATTGTAAATATTTAAACAATGTATATGGGGCTCCCAATTTCACAAAATAAGCAATGAAGGGCATGAAAGGTAAGAAAAGTCCTGATACAATAAAAAATTTAGAGTTCAATAGCCTAAACTCATCTTCAGATAAGTCTTCTAAACCCCAAATCAGCAAATGAACTTCAGAGTTAATTTGTACCATAAATCAATTCAATTTAACAGGTATTTACAAAATATTCTACCCAACGAATAAGGAGATATTCTTTTTAGCAGCCATTGGAAATTTCTCTAAAACTGATCATGTTATAGGTCACAAAAAAAAGCCTTAATAAATACAAAAAATTGAAAAAATTCCCTCTATCTTCTTAGAACATAGTAGAATAGAACCATAAATCAACAGCAAGAGAAACTATGGAATCACATAAACACTTGGAAACTGAACAATATACTTTTTAATCAACAGTAGGTCATTGTAGAAATCAGAGGGGAATTTTACAATTCATTGAAGAAAATGAAAGTGTTTAGGTACAGCACAGGCACTTATAAGCGGTAAGACTACAGCTGTAAGTACTTACTTTTTTAAAAAAATATTTTATTATTTTCATTTTATGTGTACGAGTGTATTGCCTGCATGTATGTGAGTGTACCCGTGCTGTGCAATGCTGCGGAAGTCAGAAGAGGGCTTCAGATTCCCCCGGAACTGGAGTTAAGGATGGTTCGTAGCCACCATGTGGGTGCTGGGAATCGAACCTGGGTCAGTGCTCTTAACCACTGTCAGAGCAGTCAGTGCTCTTAACCACTGAGCCATCTCTCCAGCCCCAAGTACTTACATTTAAAAAAAAAATCAGATATCAAAAATAAATAAATAATAAATGTTTACAAAATCAAATCTCAAATAATTAACCTAATGATATACCTCAAGGGTCTAGGGGAAAAAAAAGACAAATCCAACTGTGATAGATGAGAGGCAATAATAAAAAGCAGAGCAGAATTAATGAAACAGAGACTAAAAGAACAAGTCAGTCAAACTGCCAAGTGGTTCTTTGAAAAGAACTAAGCAATATTGACAAACCCCTAATCAACCTAAACAGAGAGAGAGGGAGGGAGAGAGAGAGAGAGAGAATTAGAGATGAAAAGGGAGTTGTTAGAACAATTTCTAACGAAATCATGGGGCTCATTAGGATATACTTTGAATTAGCTGGAACATTTAGAAGAAATGTATAAATCCTAAACACATATGATCTACCAAAGTTAGAACAAGAAAATAGAAACAACTTAAGTACATCCATAAGAAACAATGAGATTGAAGCAATAATTTAAATTTTGTCTCCCCACAAAGAAAGCTCAGGACCAGAGATATTTACTCCTGAATTCTACCAAAGTTTTGAGAAAGAGCTAATACCAAAACTTCTCAAAGTGTCCCATAAAAAGGAAAGAGAAGGAAGGCTACCAAACTCATTCTACATAACCCTACAGATTCCACCAGAAAACTCTTAGACCTGATAAATAACTTTAAAAAGATGCAGAATAGAAAATCAGTAGTTTTCTATATCCCAATAAAGAACTTGGTGGAAAAGCAATTAAGAAATGTATCCCAGTCACAGTAGCATCCACATATAGAACTAAAGAGGTGATAGACTGCTACCATGAAAATTTTAAGACTCTGAAGAAGAAACTGAAGGAAACACTAGACGTTGGACATACCTTCCCTGCTCATGGACTGGTGAATTAATAATGTGAGAATAGCTATATCTATATCTATAGATTCAATGGAACTTCATCCGAATTCCAATGAT